TACGGCCCCTGAGATGGATAATGTGCAATGAACATTTGTGTTGCTGCAGAGAGTCTCCCCCTTTGGGGTATTTTTATGGGGGTCGGAGGGAGGCAGAGATTCTGACTCGGGGTCTGCTTTGGCCTCCTGGTGGGGGGCTTTGGGCGAAGGCTGGAGGGAAGAGCCACTGGTGGCGAAGAGCCGGAGGGCCTCGTTCCAGTGGGGCTGCATCACGGCCTGAAACTAGCTGACCATCTCAGCCCGCTGAGCCTCCAGGCGCCGGCACCTGGCCTCGCACTCCCTCAGATCTTCCTTCTACTTGGAAAGCCTATGATCCTAGTCCTCAGTGAGGTGCTTCTGTTGAGCCTCCTTCTCGGCCAGATCCAATTTGAACTGAGCTGTTTTGCCAACTCTTGGTGGCTGTTTAGCTCCAGCAACGGTTTCCTGTTGGGGCCCTAAGGAGCCCGGGGCGGGCGGGCAGTTGAGGAGGGGCTGGGAGGAGGGAGGGGCGAGCAGAGGCCAGCAAGGTGCCCCTCGACGTGAGTGACATCAAGCCGGCCACGCCCCTCCAGTCACATGACCACCCATCCAGTCATTAGGCAGATCGTATTAGGGATTTAAAATCATGAATTTAGTGGCCCCTGAGGTCCTAAAATTTGGGGACCCCTGTTGTAAATCATGAGAACCATTTCTCCTCTCTTGTTCCGCAGCTTAAGGTGGCCTAATTTTCTTTTCTGGAGCTTAGGAAAGTTTAAATTTTGGCCACCCGCCGTCCACTTCCTAATCCTGACCCCTGGCGCCTCGTTGTGAGTGGCTTCCTTTCCGGGCCACAGCTGGAATCCAGGCGTTGAGAAGAAGGCACGTTTTCACGCCCTCTCTTCCTCCCCGGCTCCCCTCAAGGGCTCTACGCTTGCCTGGTGACGGTGAAAGACCACCCTGACGAGGATCTGCTGGCCCTCAGCACCGCCGAGGGCTCCGTGGACATCTCGGCCGCTCTCCGCAGTGAGGAACCCCAGGAGACACAACGGGTGGCTCTCCCCTTTCTCCCCGCCTTCTTCCTCAACCAGAGCGAGATTGTCCTGAGCAGTTCCCAGGTGACCAGCGAGATCTTGGTCTTGGGCGCCCGGAGAGTGACGGACACCATCGAGGTAGGTTGATGCCCCTCCCGAGGACACACAGGGGCTGAGATGCTGAGCTTGTCGGCCAGAAAAGATCGGCAGTTTGTGGCGGGTTTGAATCCCCGGCGCCGCGTTAACGGAGTGAGCTCCCGTGACTCGTCCCAGCTTCCCGCCAACCGAGCACTTCGAAAACATGCTGGGAGTTGGAAGTCCACCAGTCTTAAAAGCTGCCAAGTTTGAAGACCTCTGGATTGAGGGTTTCGCTCCTGGTGGGAACCCAAATTTGGTTCTCGTTAAAGGCAGCTGGGGTTGTTTTTTTCTGGAACTTTCCTCCCCACAAAACCCTTGTTTTTTTTGTCTCCCGCCCTGCCAAAGGCCCATCCCACTTCTCCCGTGGTGCAAGTGGATCCCCCCCTCTTCCTCCCGGACATGCCCGGGCTTGTCCTCTTCCCCGTCCGCGTGGTCAACCTGACCTCCCTCCACCGGAGGGCAGCACCCGTCTTCGTCAACCTCTCCTGCGGCCTCACCGGCCAGCGAGCGGCTGTGCTGGTGCGTCCCGAGCAGGAGCATCATCTCGGCTTTGGTGAGCGTGGTTAAGGGGGAGAGGGGGGCAGGGTGTCCTTCTTGGCTTGGTTCTTGGGCACCTGTAAGGCCATCTAAACCGCCTTTGTCCACACGCCTAGATCTGTGCGCCGAGGCCAGTCTCGTCCGGCAACTGGTGGGGTCCTACCAGGTCCTCCTCTTCACCGTCTTCGCCGTCCTGGCGTCCACCATGGTCATCTTTCTCAGTTAAGTCCCGGCACACTTGAGCCTCATCAATGGCAGAAACTTTAATTAGGCAATTACGTTCAAAGCCCAACCCAGTTTTGTAGAATGGCAGAGCTAGGAGGAGGGGACCTCGGGAGGCCTTCTAGCCCAACCCCACTGCTCAAGCCGAAGACCCCGGACCCTTTCAGACAAAACTGTCCACATATCTTTTCTTTAAAAAACCTGCGGTGTTGGTACTAGAGTTATCAACCACCAATGAGGCCAAAATTAATGTTGCTAAGTGAGACGTGTGTTGAGTTTTGTCCCATTTTACGACTTTCCTTACCATGATTAAGTGAATCCCGCTTCCCCGTTGACTTTGCTTAGCGGAAGGTCGCCAAAGGGGGGGGCGTGACCCTGGGGACTCTTGCGACGGTCATAAACATGAGTCAGTGACCAACTGTCTGAATTTTTGATCCCGTGACCCCCTGGGGATGCAACGGTCCCACTTTTCTCGGCGCCCTTGGTAACTACTTCGGTCGCTAAATGAATGGTCGCAAATCAAGGACCGCCTGCATTCCACAGCCCCCCCCTCTCCCCAAAGTCGGTTCCAACCAGCCTTCTCCTCCTCCTCCTCTCCCCGCAGTTTACAATGCCTTCCTGAACAGAGTTCAGACAGTCCCACTGGTCTACATCCCGTCGGCCTCAACGCAGGACGGTGAGTTTACACAACCGGTCAAGACCACAATCCCAATTCTCCTCGGGGCAACATTGAAGAGCCAGGGATCCTCCGTCCGGAAAATCCACGGCTTCCAGCTTTTAAACAGGGCAGGGGGGACTGGAGTGCTTGCCGTTTCCCTTTTTTGCAGAATAAGCTTCTTTTTTAGGGAAGGGGTCATTTCTCAAGCCCCCTACCCCCCCCCTTTTCTATCTAGGCTACCTCTACCCTCCGCTGACTGCCCAGCACCATCCTTCCAGCCTGAGGAACAGGACTCAGGCCTGGCTCTGGAGCGTGCGGAGATGACTTCTAGGAGAACGTGGGGGAGAGAGAGTAAAACTTGGTAAAAATAAATATTTATACGTGGCCGAGCGTCGTCCTTGAAGGGGAAAAGCCCACGCCACTCGCCGGGCTTCCTCCGTGGAGCCACTTTCCGTGGTAACAGCAGCTGTTCAGCCCTCCCCTTTTAAACCACACACCCCCCCAAGAGCCAAATTGAATCCCGCAGAGCGCTCGACCACCACTCAACCCACAAAAAGAACAAAAAATTGTCTTTATATCCAAAGTTTATTGAATGAAACGGGTAAGGCTACAAGGACAGTGCCAGAGCCACAAAGGGGGAAGGGATGTGTGTGTGTGTCCCCGTCCTCATCCCACAGCCACCGTTGGCAGCAACTCAAGCCCTCAAAAGTAACTACAGGCCCCCCCGCCCCTTTTACAACTCCGTTGCATAATATACTTCCATCGGTGCCCCAGGGAAACACCCGGGGTGGCAACCGGCAACTGTCCCCGTAGTCGCAAACCCATCCCGTGCCAAGTGTCCACTATTTAATGTTGCTTTCGCCGGAAAGAACATCCTGCACGGAGAGAAAAAAATGGGGAAAAAAGTGAGCTGTAAGATCAAGAAACTGGCTACGTTTAACCAGGATTGTCCTGTTTTATTTTCTTTCAGGAGGGGGGGAAAAGCAGCCATTTTTGATCCATTTTATGAACTCATCCATAAAAAAAACAGCCTTCACGCTAGGAAGAAACAGCCTTCAAACATCCCTCTGCATTTAATGATGTTAAAACACACACTGCCGTTCCTACCACCCACCCCCAAATACCTAAAGATTGAAATATCATCATCAGTTTTAATGACCCCATATAACCTTGGCAACTTTACAATAGGCGGGCTTTTAATTCCCAGAATTATGCGCTTGTGCCGGCTGGGGAATTCTGGGAGTTGAAGTCTACCTAACCTGCCCTGAGATATATTACTTTCATCATCATCATCATCTTCTTCTAACAACCCCATCATCCCTTGCGGAGTGGTTTCGGCAACTGAATGGAGCTAGAAGAGTGTTGTGATTGGCTGGATGCTCGTCCTGTTGCCAGAGCGGAGTTTAGTTCAGGAGAGAGAGAGAGGAAAAGAGAGACAGAGATGAAGAGATAGAGAAACAGGAAAGGAGAGAGGAAAAGAGGAGAGGAAGAGAGAGAGAGAAACAGGAAAGGAGAGAAAGAGAAAAGAGGAAAAGAGAAGAGATAGGAAGAGAGAGGAAAAGAGAGACAGAGAGGAAATGAGAGGAAAAGAGACAGACAGAGAGGAAGAGAGAAACAGGAATGGAGAAAGAGAAGAAAAGAAAAAAGAAGAGAGAGAGGAAGAGAGAAATAGGAAAGGAGAGAGAGAAGAAAAGAGAAAAAGAAGAGATAGGAAGAGAGGAAAAGAGAGACAGAGACAGAAACAGAGAGGAAATGAGAGAGACGGAGAGAGACAGAGCGGAAAAGAGGGGGGAAGAAAAACAGGAAAGGAGAGAGAAGAAAAGAGAGAGAGGAAAAGAGAAGAGAGAGACAGAGGAAGAGAGAGAAACAGGAAAGGGGGGAGAGAGAAGAAAAGTTAGACAAACAGGAAAAGAGAGAGAGACAGAGCAGAAAAGGGGGGAAGAGAGACAGAGGAAGAGAAACAGGAAAGGGGAGAGAGAGAAACAGAGAGAAAAGGAGAGAGAAGAAAAGAGGAGAGAGAAGTATCTGCCTCTATCAAACTCTCAAGCCTCCAGATTGTGAGTCCAGCGCTCTAGGCCAACGCACCCCTCCCCTAAAGGTTGACAGATGACACTCCCTAAAAATGTTAACAAACCCACAACAAACTCACCTCGGAACCTGGCTACAACTTTCTCCTCCCCTCCATTAATTCTGACATTTGACGGACACGCGGGGGTGGGGTGGGGAATTCCCGCTTACCTTCTGTCAACCTCGCCTTTCCACCAGTGGGCTGGCACAGCACAGTCGAGCAGCCGACGCACAACACAACCGTCTGGGCGTGACTGAAAACCGTGGTGATTTTGTAGCAACCTGGAGCGGGGAGATAGCCGAGCAAATATTTTAGTGTGTCAAGAACATTTTTATTTATGCTTCGTTGCTGTCGCAGCCACAAATGCTCTTCGTGCTAGCAGCACCCTCCCTTACTTACACCACCTTCAGGCGCTTTATAAAGTTGGCCTGAACTACTCCAGGGATCCTACTACACGGAGCAAGCGGCCACGTCAGGAATAATAGGAACATTTTTTTAGGCTCGCCCACTGCTCCAGACGGCGTTGAGGGTCAGTCTAGATGCTTCCCTGCCCCCTTTGATGCAACAGCTGTTGCAAAAATCCCGCTGCGGCCGTTTCTCTGGCAACGGGAGAGGCACTTGTTTTTCTGCAGCCCCCCAGAAGGCAGGGCTTGGTACCCCCTGCACAAACACCCCCCCTTCCCCCATAATGCCAACCAGCAGCTCCAAGTTTATGGTGGATTTTGCTCCCTTGCTGGAGGACAAGATTGGAGAAGCATTTGTTCATTGCATATAGGGGGTCTCCCTGTTTGGGCAGGGGGGGGGGGGGCTGACTAAATGACTGCCAACATCCCCCCCCCTGATTCGGTTATTCTGTCCTTTTTCAGGGGGGGGGACAGACTAGATGACCCTCAATGTCCCTTCCGATGCGCTTTCTGTCTTCTGAGCAGGAGGGTTCGCCGAATAACCTCCGAGGCCACTTCTGACTCTAGTTGTTATTCTGTCTTCTGAGCTGGGGGCCAGAGTAGATGACCTCCCAGATCTCTCGCGACTGCTATCCAGTCTTCCGAGCAGGGATACGGGCGAGATGATCCTCGGGGTCCCCTTCCAACTCTTATCCTGCCTTCTGAGCAGCGGTTCGACTAGGCGACCTCGGAGGCCCCCTTCCAACTCTTGTTATTCTGTCTTCTGAGGAGGGAGGGAGGCTCGGCTGGATGAGCTCTGAGGTCCCCTTCTAACTCGTTATTCTGTCTTCTGAGAGGCGGGGAGGGAGGGAGGCTCGGCTGGAGGACCTTNAAGGTGGCCTAATTTTCTTTTCTGGAGCTTAGGAAAGTTTAAATTTTGGCCACCCGCCGTCCACTTCCTAATCCTGACCCCTGGCGCCTCGTTGTGAGTGGCTTCCTTTCCGGGCCACAGCTGGAATCCAGGCGTTGAGAAGAAGGCACGTTTTCACGCCCTCTCTTCCTCCCCGGCTCCCCTCAAGGGCTCTACGCTTGCCTGGTGACGGTGAAAGACCACCCTGACGAGGATCTGCTGGCCCTCAGCACCGCCGAGGGCTCCGTGGACATCTCGGCCGCTCTCCGCAGTGAGGAACCCCAGGAGACACAACGGGTGGCTCTCCCCTTTCTCCCCGCCTTCTTCCTCAACCAGAGCGAGATTGTCCTGAGCAGTTCCCAGGTGACCAGCGAGATCTTGGTCTTGGGCGCCCGGAGAGTGACGGACACCATCGAGGTAGGTTGATGCCCCTCCCGAGGACACACAGGGGCTGAGATGCTGAGCTTGTCGGCCAGAAAAGATCGGCAGTTTGTGGCGGGTTTGAATCCCCGGCGCCGCGTTAACGGAGTGAGCTCCCGTGACTCGTCCCAGCTTCCCGCCAACCGAGCACTTCGAAAACATGCTGGGAGTTGGAAGTCCACCAGTCTTAAAAGCTGCCAAGTTTGAAGACCTCTGGATTGAGGGTTTCGCTCCTGGTGGGAACCCAAATTTGGTTCTCGTTAAAGGCAGCTGGGGTTGTTTTTTTCTGGAACTTTCCTCCCCACAAAACCCTTGTTTTTTTTGTCTCCCGCCCTGCCAAAGGCCCATCCCACTTCTCCCGTGGTGCAAGTGGATCCCCCCCTCTTCCTCCCGGACATGCCCGGGCTTGTCCTCTTCCCCGTCCGCGTGGTCAACCTGACCTCCCTCCACCGGAGGGCAGCACCCGTCTTCGTCAACCTCTCCTGCGGCCTCACCGGCCAGCGAGCGGCTGTGCTGGTGCGTCCCGAGCAGGAGCATCATCTCGGCTTTGGTGAGCGTGGTTAAGGGGGAGAGGGGGGCAGGGTGTCCTTCTTGGCTTGGTTCTTGGGCACCTGTAAGGCCATCTAAACCGCCTTTGTCCACACGCCTAGATCTGTGCGCCGAGGCCAGTCTCGTCCGGCAACTGGTGGGGTCCTACCAGGTCCTCCTCTTCACCGTCTTCGCCGTCCTGGCGTCCACCATGGTCATCTTTCTCAGTTAAGTCCCGGCACACTTGAGCCTCATCAATGGCAGAAACTTTAATTAGGCAATTACGTTCAAAGCCCAACCCAGTTTTGTAGAATGGCAGAGCTAGGAGGAGGGGACCTCGGGAGGCCTTCTAGCCCAACCCCACTGCTCAAGCCGAAGACCCCGGACCCTTTCAGACAAAACTGTCCACATATCTTTTCTTTAAAAAACCTGCGGTGTTGGTACTAGAGTTATCAACCACCAATGAGGCCAAAATTAATGTTGCTAAGTGAGACGTGTGTTGAGTTTTGTCCCATTTTACGACTTTCCTTACCATGATTAAGTGAATCCCGCTTCCCCGTTGACTTTGCTTAGCGGAAGGTCGCCAAAGGGGGGGGCGTGACCCTGGGGACTCTTGCGACGGTCATAAACATGAGTCAGTGACCAACTGTCTGAATTTTTGATCCCGTGACCCCCTGGGGATGCAACGGTCCCACTTTTCTCGGCGCCCTTGGTAACTACTTCGGTCGCTAAATGAATGGTCGCAAATCAAGGACCGCCTGCATTCCACAGCCCCCCCCTCTCCCCAAAGTCGGTTCCAACCAGCCTTCTCCTCCTCCTCCTCTCCCCGCAGTTTACAATGCCTTCCTGAACAGAGTTCAGACAGTCCCACTGGTCTACATCCCGTCGGCCTCAACGCAGGACGGTGAGTTTACACAACCGGTCAAGACCACAATCCCAATTCTCCTCGGGGCAACATTGAAGAGCCAGGGATCCTCCGTCCGGAAAATCCACGGCTTCCAGCTTTTAAACAGGGCAGGGGGGACTGGAGTGCTTGCCGTTTCCCTTTTTTGCAGAATAAGCTTCTTTTTTAGGGAAGGGGTCATTTCTCAAGCCCCCTACCCCCCCCCTTTTCTATCTAGGCTACCTCTACCCTCCGCTGACTGCCCAGCACCATCCTTCCAGCCTGAGGAACAGGACTCAGGCCTGGCTCTGGAGCGTGCGGAGATGACTTCTAGGAGAACGTGGGGGAGAGAGAGTAAAACTTGGTAAAAATAAATATTTATACGTGGCCGAGCGTCGTCCTTGAAGGGGAAAAGCCCACGCCACTCGCCGGGCTTCCTCCGTGGAGCCACTTTCCGTGGTAACAGCAGCTGTTCAGCCCTCCCCTTTTAAACCACACACCCCCCCAAGAGCCAAATTGAATCCCGCAGAGCGCTCGACCACCACTCAACCCACAAAAAGAACAAAAAATTGTCTTTATATCCAAAGTTTATTGAATGAAACGGGTAAGGCTACAAGGACAGTGCCAGAGCCACAAAGGGGGAAGGGATGTGTGTGTGTGTCCCCGTCCTCATCCCACAGCCACCGTTGGCAGCAACTCAAGCCCTCAAAAGTAACTACAGGCCCCCCCGCCCCTTTTACAACTCCGTTGCATAATATACTTCCATCGGTGCCCCAGGGAAACACCCGGGGTGGCAACCGGCAACTGTCCCCGTAGTCGCAAACCCATCCCGTGCCAAGTGTCCACTATTTAATGTTGCTTTCGCCGGAAAGAACATCCTGCACGGAGAGAAAAAAATGGGGAAAAAAGTGAGCTGTAAGATCAAGAAACTGGCTACGTTTAACCAGGATTGTCCTGTTTTATTTTCTTTCAGGAGGGGGGGAAAAGCAGCCATTTTTGATCCATTTTATGAACTCATCCATAAAAAAAACAGCCTTCACGCTAGGAAGAAACAGCCTTCAAACATCCCTCTGCATTTAATGATGTTAAAACACACACTGCCGTTCCTACCACCCACCCCCAAATACCTAAAGATTGAAATATCATCATCAGTTTTAATGACCCCATATAACCTTGGCAACTTTACAATAGGCGGGCTTTTAATTCCCAGAATTATGCGCTTGTGCCGGCTGGGGAATTCTGGGAGTTGAAGTCTACCTAACCTGCCCTGAGATATATTACTTTCATCATCATCATCATCTTCTTCTAACAACCCCATCATCCCTTGCGGAGTGGTTTCGGCAACTGAATGGAGCTAGAAGAGTGTTGTGATTGGCTGGATGCTCGTCCTGTTGCCAGAGCGGAGTTTAGTTCAGGAGAGAGAGAGAGGAAAAGAGAGACAGAGATGAAGAGATAGAGAAACAGGAAAGGAGAGAGGAAAAGAGGAGAGGAAGAGAGAGAGAGAAACAGGAAAGGAGAGAAAGAGAAAAGAGGAAAAGAGAAGAGATAGGAAGAGAGAGGAAAAGAGAGACAGAGAGGAAATGAGAGGAAAAGAGACAGACAGAGAGGAAGAGAGAAACAGGAATGGAGAAAGAGAAGAAAAGAAAAAAGAAGAGAGAGAGGAAGAGAGAAATAGGAAAGGAGAGAGAGAAGAAAAGAGAAAAAGAAGAGATAGGAAGAGAGGAAAAGAGAGACAGAGACAGAAACAGAGAGGAAATGAGAGAGACGGAGAGAGACAGAGCGGAAAAGAGGGGGGAAGAAAAACAGGAAAGGAGAGAGAAGAAAAGAGAGAGAGGAAAAGAGAAGAGAGAGACAGAGGAAGAGAGAGAAACAGGAAAGGGGGGAGAGAGAAGAAAAGTTAGACAAACAGGAAAAGAGAGAGAGACAGAGCAGAAAAGGGGGGAAGAGAGACAGAGGAAGAGAAACAGGAAAGGGGAGAGAGAGAAACAGAGAGAAAAGGAGAGAGAAGAAAAGAGGAGAGAGAAGTATCTGCCTCTATCAAACTCTCAAGCCTCCAGATTGTGAGTCCAGCGCTCTAGGCCAACGCACCCCTCCCCTAAAGGTTGACAGATGACACTCCCTAAAAATGTTAACAAACCCACAACAAACTCACCTCGGAACCTGGCTACAACTTTCTCCTCCCCTCCATTAATTCTGACATTTGACGGACACGCGGGGGTGGGGTGGGGAATTCCCGCTTACCTTCTGTCAACCTCGCCTTTCCACCAGTGGGCTGGCACAGCACAGTCGAGCAGCCGACGCACAACACAACCGTCTGGGCGTGACTGAAAACCGTGGTGATTTTGTAGCAACCTGGAGCGGGGAGATAGCCGAGCAAATATTTTAGTGTGTCAAGAACATTTTTATTTATGCTTCGTTGCTGTCGCAGCCACAAATGCTCTTCGTGCTAGCAGCACCCTCCCTTACTTACACCACCTTCAGGCGCTTTATAAAGTTGGCCTGAACTACTCCAGGGATCCTACTACACGGAGCAAGCGGCCACGTCAGGAATAATAGGAACATTTTTTTAGGCTCGCCCACTGCTCCAGACGGCGTTGAGGGTCAGTCTAGATGCTTCCCTGCCCCCTTTGATGCAACAGCTGTTGCAAAAATCCCGCTGCGGCCGTTTCTCTGGCAACGGGAGAGGCACTTGTTTTTCTGCAGCCCCCCAGAAGGCAGGGCTTGGTACCCCCTGCACAAACACCCCCCCTTCCCCCATAATGCCAACCAGCAGCTCCAAGTTTATGGTGGATTTTGCTCCCTTGCTGGAGGACAAGATTGGAGAAGCATTTGTTCATTGCATATAGGGGGTCTCCCTGTTTGGGCAGGGGGGGGGGGGGCTGACTAAATGACTGCCAACATCCCCCCCCCTGATTCGGTTATTCTGTCCTTTTTCAGGGGGGGGGACAGACTAGATGACCCTCAATGTCCCTTCCGATGCGCTTTCTGTCTTCTGAGCAGGAGGGTTCGCCGAATAACCTCCGAGGCCACTTCTGACTCTAGTTGTTATTCTGTCTTCTGAGCTGGGGGCCAGAGTAGATGACCTCCCAGATCTCTCGCGACTGCTATCCAGTCTTCCGAGCAGGGATACGGGCGAGATGATCCTCGGGGTCCCCTTCCAACTCTTATCCTGCCTTCTGAGCAGCGGTTCGACTAGGCGACCTCGGAGGCCCCCTTCCAACTCTTGTTATTCTGTCTTCTGAGGAGGGAGGGAGGCTCGGCTGGATGAGCTCTGAGGTCCCCTTCTAACTCGTTATTCTGTCTTCTGAGAGGCGGGGAGGGAGGGAGGCTCGGCTGGAGGACCTTGGAGGTCCCCTTCCAACTCTTGTTATTCTGTCTTCTGAGAGGCGCAAGGGGGGGAGGCTCAGCTGGATGACCTCAGAGGTCCACTTCCAACTCGTTATTCTGTCTTCTGAGAGGCGGGGAGGGAGGGAGGCTCGGCTGGAGGACCTCGGAGGTCCCCTTCCAACTCTTGTTATTCTGTCTTCTGAGAGGCGCAAGGGGGGGAGGCTCA